AAGGATAGAAGTTGTCTGCCCTCTGGAGAGAGGTGAGAGAATACAACCTGTACAATCTAACCTAACTCACAAATATACTAGAGCAAAATCAGTTTCTTTAGTTGAACACATTTTTATGAGCTTTAGTCATAGTTACATTTACTTTTCTGCTTCTCCACTGTCAGTGGAATAGAACTGAGTGACTAACAAATTAATGAGTGCTAAATAGTTACTGAGCCTTCTAGTTGTGCTGAAAAACAGGATTAAACTAGTAAAAATATAAAATCGAATCTAAAGAAACCTTAAGTATTTCACCACAACCAAGGACATAATTGACTCTGGAATATATCCAATCATTGTTCCTCAGGTGTCACACTTGTGTCAGTTTCAGTTTATAGAGTTGTAAAATAATGTAAAAAAGGATTAAATGTATGTTAATATTACTTATAGTCAGTCTTCTGCTAAAACACACAGTTGAACATCCATCAAAGACAGTAGTGGCTGGTCCCTGGCTTCAATATTGGGTAAAAAAAATATGTTGCAAACTGAACGTTTCTTTTGTGCCTCTCTGGACTTAACACTGACTGTTAAAGGCTTTAATGAATGAAAATGTGCTAGAAAAGGACAATAGACTGGAGAGACATGCAACACACTGTTTACAGCAATGCATACTCCAGTTAACGTTATGACTTTAATGAAAACCACCTTGTTGAAAGAGGGTGTGTTTCTTTTTCTGACCAGAAATGTGGGCTTTTTCTTTTGTGCATAAATCTCTACTTCGGCTGTCCACATTATAAATACTGTCACAGAGTGCGTTGAGGGTCACTGAATGTATTCGAAAGTTTGAGATAGAGAGAGGAGCTGTAGAGTCAAACCCCCACAGGTCAACCCTGACTGTTTTACAGCTATATGTGGAGTCTGTGTTATGTCATTCTAACGAAGCTGGTCTGTTCTTGTTTGGTTTTAATGAATCTTCTTTCTGTACAGTTTTCCATGTGGTTCTACTGCTGCCACATTCATCTGAAAACATCGACCTCAATGGAACCAGAGGAGCTCCGGGGTTGTGGCAATGCACTTACACCTCCAGCAAGAAGTTTAATCCTAAGGAAAGTAGCATATATTGGCAGGGCATAAATTATCCACACATTGTTGTACACGCTTACAGATACGGGGTACAAGATTTTCAATACCAAAACCAGCCATATATAAATAGGACAAAAATCTTCACTGATCAGTTACCTTCTGGAAACTTATCACTCGTCATTGAGCCGCTGATGCTGAAAGATGACCAGACCTCACTTGAAGTTGTTGTGTCGGGAAAAATAGAAGGCTCAGATAAGCTCTGCCAGACAACTCTGTATGTAGCAGGTATGATGCTCTGTTCAGTCCTGTTTATGGAAACCTTGTTATTGCACAAGCATTTCATTTTGAATGAACTACATTCATGCACGCTTACATTTTTAGATAGCTTAACTGAACGTTGGTATAATGAATGGCACGCAGTGTGCGAACTATAGCACAGCTTTCAGGGGAGCTCACTTTTTCTACTGTTGGGGGGGAAATGTTTTCTGATCAATGATGTTGTGCTGCCACACTTCAATAGTGATAGCAAGAATAGTATCTTTGATGAGTCACCCTCAAACTTCTCAGATTTACCCTCCAAACAGTCCATTTTATTCTCACTATAACAAATGTCCTTCAATTGTTAATAGATTTCAACTTTCATTTTCCTACAATTTAATACAAAAAAGCCTTAAATATTACATCACGCTTGCAATTTTCTAGAAATGCTCTGGTGAAATCAGCATTTAAGCGCACAAGTCAGAGATCAAACAGAGATGACAAAGGAGGGGAGGGAGATGCAACAATGTACACTGAAGGTACCGACGACTCCACAGACTGGGGCATTTGTGAAAACACTGCACAGCACAAGTACACATGAGTGAATTTAAATTTGCATTAAGTAAGACTGCTGATCTTTGGCTGCCTTGAGGCCGTGCCACGCTGTGCACCACTGCGCCAAATGTGGAGGACCTCACAGTAATCTGTGGTGTATGACTTACATAAAAACTATAAAACAATAATAAAAAACTATAAATATAATATAAATAAAACCACAAACCACACTAAAGGTGATTTTATCTGTCACACTTTAATACGAGGCAAACAATCTAATAATACTTTTTGTTATTTTCTTTTTAATCTAAAGTGTATATAAATGTTCAGTATTTAAACAAGTGCAAATTCCTGCTAAAATAACTGATACTTGTGCTTTAATTAATTATTTATATGCATTTTTTGTCATTTGTGTATCTTCTATATTAAACAGGTGAAACTAATTCCTGCTAGAATAACACTAATTCCTTTCCAGCTCCTTTCCAGAACCCAAACATTGAGATAAACCAAACAGAGATGACAGCAACCTGCAGCACAAATGGAGGATACCCTGAACCTGAACTCAAATGGAGCGGGGATGGAGGGACTAAACTGGAACCACAAAAAACCACAATGACTCGTGAAGCAGACCTCACCTACAACATCAGCAGCAGAGTCAACGTCACTGGGTTACAGAAAGTGACCTGCACAGTTTACAACCCAACTTCAAACCAGACTCTGACTGCAACTAAAGATGTGTCACCTATCAAGAGTCCAGGTGCTTCAATGTTTACTTTTCATTTTTTAATGTGTGATGATCGTTTCATCTGCCTGCCATCTACTTACTGTGCTGTGTCTGTAAAATGAACATAAAGTCAAATAGAAAGGGCTCCTGAAGTTTTAACTTATTTTGAGGCCCATTTATAAAGAGGTTTTCTGTGTCAGAATCAAGTTTAATACCTTTAATATTTATATTGATATTATATTTATAGTGCAGATTTATGTGGGATCGTATTATTACTGACAT